TTGGAGTAGTTATTAGATGATATTAACCAATTATTGATTTTGTAATAGCCTAGTTCTGTATAGAAGTGATTTTTTTTTATTTCTATTTTTTATAGAGACAGGGTCTGCTCTATCACCCAGGCTGGAGTGCTGGGGCACAATCATGTCTCACTACAGCCTCTAACTCTCGGCTCCAGCAATCCTCCCACCTCAGTCTCCCAAGTAGCTAGGACCACAGACATGTGCCACCATGCCTGGCTTTTTTTTTTTTTTTTTTTTTTTTTTTTTTGTAGAGACAGGGTCTTTCTGGCCAGGTGCATAATTCCAGCACTTTGGGAGGCCAAGGCGGGCAGAATGCCATGTTGGGGTCTTTACTAAAAACACAAAAATTACCCAGGCATGGTGGTGCATCCCTATAATCCCAGCTACTTGGGAGGCTAAGGCACAAGAATCTCTTGAACCCGGGAGGTGGAGAGTGCAGTGAGCCGAGATCATACCACTGCACTCCAGCCTAAGCAACAAAGTGAGACTCCGTCTCAAAAAAAAAAAAAAAAAAAAAGAGAGAGAGAGAGAGAGCGTTTTTCTATGTTGCCCAGGTTGTCCTCCAATTCCTGGCCTCAAGTGATCCTCCCACCTCCACCTCCCAGAGAGCTAGAATTACAGGCATGAGCCACCTCACCCACCCTTCAAGATATTTTTTAAAAAAGAAGATTAGGGGCCGGGCGCAGTGGCTCACACCTGTAATCCCCGCACTTTGGGAGGCCGAGGCGGTTGGATCACAAGGTCAAGAGATCGAGACCATCCTGGTCAAAATGGTGAAACACCCTCTCTACTAAAAATACAAAAAATTAGCTGGGCATGGTGACGCGTGCCTGTAATCCCAGCTACTCAGGAGGCTGAGGCAGGAGAATTGCCTGAACCCAGGAGGCGGAGGTTGCGGTGAGCCGAGATTGCGCCATTGCACTCCAGCCTGGGTAACAAGAGCGAAACTCCGACTCAAAATAAAAAATAAAAAAAAAGAAGAAGAAGATTAGGTCAAAAAAGAGTGGCAAAATAAGGATAGTTGTTAAACTTGAGTAATGGGTGCTTGGAAGTTTTTTACACTCTCTTATGTATGCTTGGAAATTTTCAAAATCAAAAGTTAATAAAAAGACAAACCTCGGCTAGGCACGGTGACTCACGCCTGTAATCCCAGCACTTTGGGAGGCCGAGGTGGGCAGACCACCTGAGGTTGGGAGTTTGAGACCAGCCTGACCAACATAGAGAAACCATCTCTACTACAAATACAAAATTGTAGACCATCTCTACTACAAATACAAAATTAGCCAGGTATGGTGGCTCATGCCTATAATCCCAGCTATTCGAGGGGCTGCGGCGAAATCACTTGAACCCAGGAGGCGGAGGTTGTGGTAAGCCAAGATCATGCCATTGCACTTCAGCCTGGGCAACAAGAGTGAAACTCAATCTCAAAAAAAAAAGACAAATCTCTAACAAGACAGATCAAGGATACAAATATGTAAAATACAGAATGAAAAAAGTAACCATAGCTATAACTGAAATAAAAAATAAGACTATGAACAACTATATTTTAATAAGTGGAAAACCTATATAAAATAACTTTTTAAAACATTTTTGAGGCAGAGTCTCACTCTGTCACCTCAGGCTGGAATGCAGTAGCATGATCAGAAGTTACTTACTGCAGCCTCAACCTCTTGGGCTCAAGTAAGTGATCCCCCCACCTCAGCCTTGTGGGTAGCTGGGACTACAGGCACACACCACCATGCCCAACTACTTGTTTGTAGAGATGGGCTTTCGCCATATTGCCCAGGCTGGTCTTGAACTCCCGGGCTCAAGTGATCCTCGCCTTGGTCTCCCAAAGTGCTGGGATTACAGGTATGAGCCACCACACACGGCCTTAAACAAATTTTTTAAAGACAAAAATGCTAGCAACTAATAAGTGAAAAACTAGAGCATTTGAACAGATCAATTATCATTAAAAAAATTAAAACAGTAATTAGAATCCTGGTTGCCAATAAAAGGCCCCTGGCCCAAATGGTTCTACCAACGTTTCATGAAACAGATACCTACCTTATACAGACTGCTTCAGGGACAAAAAGAGAGAGAGAGAGAAAGAAAACTGCTCATTTAAAAGGGTTAGGCCAGGCATGACAGTTCACACCTGTAATCCCAGCACTTTGCGAGGCAGAGGCAGGAGGACTGCTTGAGTCTAGCAGTTCAAGACCAGCCTGGGCAATACAGTGAGACCTCATCTGTACACAAAAAAAAAACTTAAAAATTTAGCTCAGCAGGGTGGCACATGCCTATAGTCCCCACTACTGGGAGGTTGAAGTGGGAGGATTGCTTGAGCACAGGAGGTGGAGGCTGCAGCAAGCCAAGATCATGCCACTGTCTAGCCTGGGTGATGGAGTGAGATTCTGTATCAAAAATAAATAAATAAAAGGGCTAAAATAATGTGAATTCCTAAATCAGATAAAGACAATATAGGGACATTGGTCTCCCTGCAGTCAACAATCCACATATAAATTTTTACTCCCCCAAAACTTAACTCCTAATACTCTACTGTTGACCAAAAGCCTTACCAGTACAATAACAGTTGATTAGTACTTATTGTATATATTATATACTACATTCTTACGATAACGTAAGCTAGAGAAAACAAAATGCTATTAAGAATATCATAAGGGCCGGGCGCGGTGGCTCAAGCCTGTAATCCCAGCACTTTGGGAGGCCGAGGCGGGTGGATCACAAGGTTAAGAGATCGAGACCATCCTGGTCAACATGGTGAAACCCCGTCTCCAGCCTGGGTAACATGAGTGAAACTCCGTCTCAAAAAAAAAAAAAAAAAGAATATCATAAGGAAGAGAAAATATATTTACTATTAAGTAGAACTGGATCATCATAAAGGTCTTCATCTTCATTGTCTTCACATTGGGTAGGCTGAAGAGGAGGGGTTGATATTGCTGTCTCAGGAATTACAAGGGTGAAAGAGGTAGAAGGGGATGCAGAAGAGGCAGGCACACTCGATGCAACTTTATGGAAATACATCATAATTTCTGACCAACTTTTTTGCTTTTTCATTTCTCCAAAAACATGTTTATACAGTACTAATCTTTATTCTACCATTTGCTTTAGATTCCGTGCCAGTAATCAAAGAAGGGTCCAAGTCACAAAAGAAGTCAAAAGCAGTCTTGATAATCAAAAGCCTTCTGCCAGATTGTCTACTGTCAATTTGTTTTCTGGCACCACTGCATTTTTTTTTTTTTTTGAGACAGAGTTTCACTCTTGTTACCCAGGCTGGAGTGCAATGGCGCGATCTCGGCTCACCGCAACCTCCGCCTCCTGGGTTCAGGCAATTCTCCTGCCTCAGCCTCCTGAGTAGCTGGGATTACAGGCACGCACCACCATGCCCAGCTAATGTTTTGTATTTTTAGTAGAGATGGGGTTTCACCATGTTGACCAGGATGGTCTCGATCTCTTGACCTCGTGATCCACCCGCCTCGGCCTCCCAAAGTGCTGGGATTACAGGCTTGAGCCACCGCGCCCGGCCCTTTTTTTTTTCTTTTTTTTTGTTTGTGAGATAGAGTCTCACTCATTATCCCAGCCAGAGTGCAGTAGTAGGTACTATCATGGCTCACTGCATCCCAGGATCAATTGATCCTCCCCACCTCAGCCCTCCAAGTAGCTGGGACTACAGATACACACATCCATATCCACCTAATTTTTTGTATTTTTTTTGTAGAGACAGGGTTTCACCGTGTTACACAGGCTTGTCTTGAACTCCTGGGCTCAAGCAATCCATCCACCTTGGCCTCCCAAAATGCTGGGTTTACAGGCATGAGCCACTGAATTCAGCCCCTTGCACTGTTTCTTCTAAGTCTTCTTCCTCATTGTCTAGTACTAGTTGCAAAGCACTCATCTTTATCAAGTTGTATTCTGTTAATTCCTCTGGTGTGATGTCTACTGGCTCTTGAATTTCTCCAAGATCCTTATCCTGAAACTCTCTAAACTCAAACTTTTTTGTCATATCCACAATCTCTTTCATGATCTCCTTGATTGTCTCTGCTGTAAATCCTGAGGTTATGCACAATAACCGGGTGTAGTTTTCTCCATCGGTAATTTATTGGTTCAAGCCTCATGGCTTTTATGGCTTTAATGACTGCATCTTCAATGGTGTGATCCTTCCAAACTGTCATGATGTTCTCTCTATTGGAGTTCTCTTCCACAGCACTGACAATGCTTTCCATACAGTACCACGTATAATGAGCCTTAAAGGTCTTTATGACACCCTGGATTTAGAGGCTGAATTAGAGACATTGTGTCTGGGGAAAAGTAGACCACTTCGATGCCTTTGGTGTCAAACTCAGGGGGTTCTGGGTGTCCAGGGACATAGTCTGATATCCAAAGAATCTTTTAAAAGCAATCCCTTGCTGGCAAGGTACTTCCTGACTTCAGGGACAATGCATCAATGAAATTAATTCAGAAAGATTCCTGTTGTCCAGGCCTTCTTGTACAACCAAAACGCTAGCAGCTGGTACTTACCTTTTGCCTTCAAAGCTGGGGGTTAGACACTTTACAAACAAGGAACCCAACTGCATTTGCATAAAACAGTAGAATTAGCCTATCCCTTCCTGCCTTAAATCCTGGTGCTTATTTCTCTTCCTTACTAATAAATGTCCTTTGTGGCATTTCTTTTAAACCAAATCACTTTCATTACAGTAAAAACCTGTTCAGGGCTGTTCCGTCTACGGTGTAGCCATTCTTTTATTATTTTGCTTTCTTAATAAACTTGCATTCATAAAAAACAGCCGTTCAGGAAGATATATTTAATACTTTCTCCTCAATGATTTTTTTTTTTTTTTTTTTTTAGGATGGAGCAATACTTTATTTTTACACACTTTGA